CAGGGGTTGTTCAATGGATTCAACCAGTACTGTGTACACATGATGTTCAAACGGTTTAAAGGTGTCCTCAGTTTTAATGATTCCACTTTTCATTTCATCTCTCATTTTTGAACATCACGTTTCATCGTGCTATTTTGGGGATCAGCCACTTGAATGGTACCTCCTTTGTTTTCAACTCTTACAGCAGATTTTTCTTTTAACTCCCTCAGTGGTATCATTGGTATAGAACTCTTGTGTGAGGACCTATGCCATTTCTGGGGTTGTTCTGTACATGTTAAGGCTTGTATTTTCTCTCCAGTTTCATGATAGTGTTTCAAGAAGAGAACCAATGCTAATACATGGCAACAGTTTCCACTTAGTCCTACTGGACAACTACAATGAGCTTTGGTTGGTATTCCATTTTCAAACATAACTGTGGGGCGTTGCATGGACCCGTAAGACTTTTTTTATCATCGCCTTCACGTAAACTACTCGCCCGTTTGACAAGAGTTTTGACATTGACAATTTTTCTACTTGTAAACATTTGTAACGCATTCTTCTGCTGACCAGCACTACCTTCCCGTTTCATGGAAACATACTGAGTAAACATTTTATTGTTAATCTTGGGCAAATCGTCGTTGGCTGCCCTCCACTTGGCTGTGGCAGGTGGAATATCCGCGGAATCAAGACTACAGGGAAATACGTAAGCTTTTTCTGACTTTGCCTTGAGTTTCTAGACTAGTCCTGGATATCTTGATAATCGATTTATCCTCATTGTTAGTTCTTGTTTTGAACCAGATGTAGAGGCTCCGATATCTGCCAACCACTTCTCGCAATTTTCCTTGCCAAACTGTCCACTTTTCTCTATATTTCTTGAATTTCTTTCTGCATGGCCAACAACTTGAAAGCAGGTATGTGTATTTTCTTAACTTTTACATAGGGTTTTCAACCTCCAAAGACGAATTTCTGATGAAAAGTTTTTAAAAGTACAACAATTCATGAAGGACCGCCATATTTACAATTTTTCCCGCGAAAATTCTGTCCCTGCAAACTGCGAAACTAGCACCCAGGCTTCCCGGTATGAAAGTCCCTAATTGAATTACCGCTGAATTGATTGACTTCTAGAAGCAACACTCTCTTGCCGACTACTCGAGACAGAGAGCTGAAAATCACACCATTCTCAGACAGAGAGCCATGTCTATCCTCGTCAAGAAAAGCTGGCAAACAGCAAGACCGACTATTAGAGAAAGAAGCGAGTTTATGTTCAACAATGAACTACTCAGTGATGTGAGATTTGTTGTGCCAGGAGGGCACAATGGCGAAAGTGAAAGAAAACAAGTGATTCCTGCTCACAAGTTTGTGTTGTCGATTAGCAGTCCTGTATTTGAAGCCATGTTTTACGGCGAGCTGGCGGAGACTAAAGACTCTATTGAAGTGCCTGACTGTGAATATGAGAGTCTGTTGGAGCTGTTTCGTTACATGTACAGCGATGAAGTGATCTTGAGCGGAAGTAATGTGA